CTCTCTCTCTCTCTCTCTCTCTCTCTCTCTCTCTCTCTCTCTCTCTCTCTCTCTCGCGTGGGTCTCTTTTTTTAGTCGAAGTCATTTAAGTCTGTTGAAAACGACCGTTCCGATTTAACCGCGGCAACAAGATCTCGTGAATAATCCTACGGTCGCAATGTTGTTTCCAGAAAGGAGACATAATCGATGTGGTGCAGATGAACAAGAGCGGCCTGTGGAAGGGCGTCGTGCACAACAGGATAGGCCACTTCAAGTTCATAAACGTCGAGATACTGAACGACAGGGTGCCCAGGCGAGGCGAGCCGGAGCGGGGCAAGTGGGGTCAGAGATACAGGCAGAAGCCGGGCTCCGTTCAAGAGCTCTTGCAGAGAATGAATCTTCAGGTAGAGAGCAATATCTCGCCGCGGCTCGAACAAACTGATTCGCATTTGCATGGCGTCGAATGCAAAGTAGAGAACCTGCTTTTATACGTTTCTTTATTCGGTGTCCCTGTCGCGCCACCTTCCACCGTCTCCCTTTATCCCTTCGGTCCCCGCCCCTTCCCTTCTCACACCCTTCTCCCTCTACGATCGTTCGCATCGGCTTTCCAACTTATACCTTATACAACTCGCAGGTTCCGCAGACCATGACGAGTCCTTTTTGTTCGATTCTCCCCTTCCTATTCGTCTCTTTCTCTCCCTTCGTTTATCGCTTCTTGCCTCCGCCTTGCTCATTTTTATCCTCACCTACACCTATATATTCTATTCCTTCTTTTACTTTCTTTTTCTGTTTCTCTCGATCGTTCATTCTCCCTCTGATTTACCACCAAAAAAATTCGTTCGATTTATACGGACTACCGAGAGGTTATTGAATGTTTTTTTTTTTTTAACTACGGATATGAAAAATTTTCGAATAAGAGTGATGATTAATATCAAGGCATCAAAGTATTTGCGGAATTAACTAAATTTGTTAGGACAAACAGATAAAATTTAATTTTTTTATGAATTTTTATTTCATTTTGTCTTTATGTGTAGGAATTTTGCTCAATGCACAAGCTCGCTGAATTTCCTATCGAATGTTGAGGAAAGTTTATAATTCTTACTGTCTTTGCGATTCTCTCGTGAAAAAGAACCGAGCACAAATTCGCGATGGGGGACCCACCGGTCGAAAGCGTACCCCGTAATTGTCGGCGTAATTATGGGACGTCTCGTATAGTATTGTGATTGGGCGAGGGATTAGACTCGATCGTGATTCATTGTTGAACGTTCAAGAGACGCGGTGCTAAGCGAAGGGACGGAACGAAATGATAGGGCGAGGAACCGCTGTCCCGGAAACGTCGCTTCCGATTCGGAAAGCTGTGCCACTTAATTAAGCCACTATGATCGATCGTTTAATGAGCGCCGTAGATTCGCGTTCGTGCGCGTCTTTTCGACGTTCCGGTTACGCAGTTACCGGTTAATTACAGTTTGAAATGACTCGCCGTGCGACTTGCATATCGGACCGGGATTTTAAGTATTTTTATCCTGACCAATCGTGTTCCGATTCTCCGTTCAAATTTCGCACGACACAGAGAGAACGATTTGGTTGGATCAAATAAACACTTCTTTGGAATGGTTCAAACGAATTTTTTGATTGATCAAACAAATTTTATTTGACGCAACAAAAATATTTATTTTTTAGTTCCAAAAAAATATTTTTGTTGTGTCAATCAAAAAAATTTATTTGGACTATTCCAAAGAAACGTTTATTTGATTTAACAAATCGTTCTCCCTATGTGCAGCCTTTATAAAATAAAATAAAATGTTTAATCCGCGCTGAACGTCCGAAAGAGAGACACGGTACTCCTTCAAATTAACTCACGTCACAGTGGCGTTAAATTGAGCCTACCGAGATTTTCCTTCGTTCAAACATTTGAGCGCGCTTTCATCATATCGAATCGTACATTTTGTAACGAAAAACGAAAAAAAAAATATTTTCAACGCCCGGATTTTAGGTTTCTGACAAGCGGGATTGATTTTATCTGTCGCTCCATACAGGTGAATATTTCATCAAACAATATTTGCAATGAAGTATTAAACGTCGGTTATAACGAGTCCACGTAAATCATTTGGTTCCGAACTTTCTAAACTAGTGCAAATTGTTAACTTAGATTGTACAGTGTAAAAAAAGAACAGAAAAAACAGATTCGATCCGTATTCTGAAAATTTGTTCTCCACGCTGGAAAATTACATCATTTTCGGTGTATAGTTTAACGTTTGCGTTCAACGTTTTCCGATCAAAGCGCGGAGGAGAGCAAATCGCGCGTCTTCCGCGATCTTCTTTCGCGCGAGATGCGTGCTGGCGAAATTCGCTGCCACGAGCGAACTATTCAGGGCAAAAGTAGTATTTCAAAGGTGAATGTTACGCTCGCGCAGGAACATATTCCAGTTTTTGTGCTGAACGGATACGAGGATCTGGAGCTCTTCAGGGAGTTAGAGGCGGCGGATCTGGACTATTTGCGTATACATCAACCTGAGCATCGTGCCAAGATACTCACCGCCGTGCAGTTACTGCACGATCTACAATGTGAGTATATGCCGAGCACACCGGCTACATATGTATTATTCACGTTTCCCACAAGCCCTTTTCATCGTCGTCGCTATTCGTTCCGTCGCGTGTATTGAGCCACAATTAGTACGCGAGCGCGTATCTTCGGAGAGTCCAGCGTAATCTCGAAATGAAACGAAAATAACCCTCTCTCCTCCATTATAGTACAAAGAGCAATTAAGAGCGTAATAATCTCGAGGTGCAACCCGAGTGCTCATCCTAAAAGAGAAGGAGAGAGAGCCGCGGAGATAAAAATAAGTAGTTACGAAACTTCATTTTTAGACCTTCCACTTGGTTTTTATTCGCCCGCCGAGAGATAAAATTTATGTAGATAGCGTGTTTCCGAGAGACGCGTCGCGTGCAGATAACAATATAATAATAATGTACGTGCGCGAAATGCCAACTTCAGTATGCGATATGCACTTGGAAAAGTTCGCTATCAAAATTGCCAATTGTTACCGGCAAGGCACGCTTTCATCGTGTCGTGCCAATTTCACTTCGACATTAATAATAAGGCAAAATTCTCCCATCGCTCATCATGACGTGGAAATACGCAATCACCGCTGATCGGATTGTTTATATCATTTATCACGAAGCGACCGTGCGCGCAAATCGAATCGAGATCTCACACACGCACGCGCCCTTTTTCCTCCTGTCCTTACAGCGGGCAGCGAGGGTGACCTGGCCTCGAGTTCAGAGGGCGACGAGGTCAGCCGTCTGGTCTTAACCTCCGGCCAGACGTCCGGCCACTGTTCTCCCTTTAACCGACGCCAGTTCCCGCGGGACTCGGGCTGCTACGATGCGCACAAGAATACGACCAGTCGGCGGACCATCAGCCCGGAATCAACGACCACGTCGGCGAAGATGTCGAGGGAGAACAATCTGGACAGCGCGACGTCGGCGAGCGCGAAGAACGCCGTCGGCGGCGCGGCCGCCACGGAGGGCGCGGATCCCAAGGACGACTTTCATCCCAACATACCCATTACCGGCGCGACCGTGAGCCAGAAGGAGGGCCAATTCGAGAAGTCGCCGTTGTTGCGCAGCGGCAACGTACGCTTCATTGCCAAGAGGGGCAACTTCGGCGAAACCGTGGTGATCGAGGACGCCTGCGAGGCCGGCCAAAAACTCGGCGGCATGGTCAAGTACGTAGTGGGCGGTAGCAGCGACCTCGGCCTCGAGGCTACCGGCAACGTCGCCGGCCTGGGTCAACGCGGCTGCCTCAGCGAGAAGTCTAGCGACTCCGGCGTCAGCTCGTCCAGCATCAGCTCGGCGCCGCCGCCGCGGGACAAGGTACTCGCTTCCGCCAGCACCGCGTCCGACTCGCCGACCAAGAGTTTCGGCAGCTTCACCAGGGCGTCGCCGACCTCCCAAAGTGGCAGCAAGGGCCAGAGCAACGACGGCAGCTACCAATGAGAGAAACCCTGGCAGATTGGCGGGTCGACCAGTCGCGGCGCGATTTGCAGCGCGAGACCGAGACCAACGGAAGTGACGGAGTCGCGCGATTAATGCGAGAAACCGACGGAGCGGCCTTAGTTCGGGCTCGGGAGGGTCACGCGTGATCGTCTTCGACAAAATTTGCCAGTACTCTCTCGAGACTCTCGAGACGGAGACGCGACTCTCGAATTCTAGGTCCTGATGAGCGGCAAGCGGTTTCTTCCATTCCGTTCGAGAACGATAAGCAATTGTCGAGATTTCCGCTCATATCGCGAAACATCGGTTGCGCTCGACCGCGCAGCGCTCGGCTCGGCGAGCAGTACGCAAAAGCAATATCTCATTTCACGTTATTGTTGTCGAAGGAGCGCTGTGGATTTTGCTTTGTTCGGTAATTCTCGTCACGAGCGCGAGAGAAAGACGACAACGCGCAACGACGCGAACGGAAATTCTAATATCTCTTGACGCGGCCCGATATTAATGTCGGGGGAACATTTTGTTATTCCGCATCTCGCATATTTGGACGCGGCGGGAAGAACTGAGACAAGAATCGTGCGAAACGAGCGAAATTCCAGCAGTTGTAACGAGGGCTCCCCGGGGAGAGAGCGAGGGAAGGAGGGAAGGAGGGAGGGAGAGAGAGAGAGAGCGAGAGAGCGAGCCAAGTTTCTTCTTCGCGTTTATATCTCGCGTTCGGCTCGCAGCGAGAGATGCATTTGATGAGTATGGAGCGAGGTCGTGCAGAAAGTGACGTCACTGCCGGTCATCCTCGCGATGTTACGACCACCACCTGACCGATCGCTCTCGAGCGACTCGACACAGTAAGGTCTCATCGCGCGCCTACATAGTCGTGTAATTAATAATAAGCGAATACTATATGTGATACGGTAGCAATATACGATCGATTAAAACGAATAGAGAGAAAGGGAGAAAAAACGACGACAGGAAAGACGTGACACGAAACCGTGTTATCGCGATTCATTTGCGCACGAAAAGAGAACAAACGAAGGAGAAAACAGAGAGAACGGATAATAAAGACGCGCGCCTGTTAGTTTTGATTTCGCGTTCGATTTTATCTGTCGGTTTCATCTTTGCCAGCGACGACCCCCGCTATTAATCAATCACTGCGAAGTATCGTGTATAGTTCGTCCGACGAGAGCGATACAGCTCGTCAAAAGCTGCCAACGCTATCGAGGAGTCCTCGTCCGTCCGTCCCGCGTGCGGGGCGGCGATTCTTATATCCCGTGTTATCTTCGAACTCTTCGCACGTTCGATCGATCTTGTCGCCAGGAGAACGTGCGCGAGAGCGAGTCGCCGGGACAGTTATGAATTGTCTCACGACGACACCCGGGACGATTTTCCGCTTAGTAGCGCGAATACGCGAAAATCCACCCCTATATATCCGGTGATACAGACGGATTACATTCGGATCACAGGATGCCTTACGAGCGTTTTTTACTTACTTAGCTTATTTACGCGATTCCGATCCGTGCAGTCACACGGGAGAACGTCGAATCAACCGGGAGCGGAGTATCGCCTTTTTTACTTTTTCCGCCGTTCGCATAATTTTCTACGTGGTTAACAGCGGGGACGCGAAATCCCCGCGGTAGGAAACACGACGCCGATTAAAGCAGAGGAAAAGGAGAGAAAATATTGAAGAATGAAGAAGAGAAGAAACGCCACACATCGCCACTCTCGGACTTCGCTTTTACTACTACTACTACTACTACGATCGACAATCCCCATCGTCGATGCGACTTTGTCAGTTCTTCGATGGTAAAACCTGTACATGTGTATATTGACCACGCCGCGCGGAGGAGGAACGTGTTGAAAGTTATAGAGATTTTGTATGTATATAGAGATTATTATACGCGTAGGACTTAACGATGTTTTGTATCGATCTTGCCCGTTTGCCAAAACTTAAGACTAGACTATATATATATACACACGCGATATATATATATATATATATATATATATATATATATATATATATACATATATGATACCGTTGGATCTTATGTACATCTCTTGTATAGTGTAAAATCGTAGATGAATTTACGAGACGCGGGGGCGCAATCAGGAAAAAGGCTGCAGGGAACAGACAAGGGCGGAATCGAGGAAGGAGCCCGACGGATAATAATAAATCGTAAGTCATAAGTTTTCACTGTTACAAGTCGTAGCGACAACTCCCGACGCGCGTTGTTGTTATTAATTGTAAGGACGAGACACGTGGAGGAGCGCACCCCACAATCGAACGTGTGCATCGGCGAGTAGCCAGCTGCACGGAAGCGGCTAATGATACCCGAGACTTTCAGCGCGATGCCGTATCACGGGCACGGTAAACGCACGAGTCACGTGTACACGTCGATACATCGATCGTCTCAATCGCTCAGCGAAACACCTTCTGCGATTGGAGCGACACGAATTACTGCGCGCGCGGCAATTGGTTTCAAGACGAGCGAAGCGACGGTGCAGAAATTAACGGGACTTCGGAGTGAGTTTGCCGTCCCCGAGGTACGTAGTCGCGACACAGATCGCCCCATCGAAAGCGTTTCACACGTACAATACATGTGCACCTTTTACACCGCGTCGTCATCTACGTAAAGTAGGTAGGTAAATCCGCGAGCGCGCGCTTCTTCTACAAAATGTCGCCCGCCGCGCTTATAATCGCATCACCGGAGAAGCGAGTCGGAGGAAGACGAAGAAGGACACTGTGAGGAGCCAGGATCGGTCCACAAGTCGGCTACGGTTCGCTCGAGCAAGCGTAGTCGAGTGCAAGTTGCTTCCATCGACGTCGAGATCGATCATCAACGCGACGCGCTCGATCGCGGCCCGCGGTGCGTCATTTTTCGCACCGGGATCGAGAGCTTCCTCGCGATTTCCGAGAGCGAGATTTAATTCGCGTGCCGCCCGCGCGCGCGTACGGTCCCCGCCAGTGGACCGGTTTATTTCTTTTCCCTTTTCTTTTTTCTTTGTTCGATCGACGATTCGACGGTACGAGAGATGCCGGGGCAGGCAGTATGCGCTAAATAATACGTCGGTCTCGGTGACGTCTGCTAGTTTATCCGTTCCATCGAGAGTAATAATACGTGTAGTGGACGAATGAAGCGGCGTGGAAAGGAGAATGCGAGATGTCGAGATTGGAGCTCGAGCGTGTGTGTATGTGTGCGAGAGAACGAGAGAAAGAGCGAGTGAGCGAGAGAAAGAGAGAGAGAGAGAGAGAGAGAGAGAGAGAGAGTAACACACGAAACGATGTTGAAAATTAGTAAACGAGTTTATGAGAGTATGAATATAGACACGATAGTGATTTTATTAGCTCGGGAAATTACGCAGCATTCGATGTAAAGTAAATTCATTCTAATCGTAGACCCAAGACGCAGTAATCGCAATAGATAATTTAAGCGAACCTTTGAAGAACGAAGGGAAAGAGAATGAGTCGAGTCGTTTGACGGAAGAAGAAGGCCTATTTGGCGTCGCGCGCGCAAAGAGAGAGAGAGAGAGAAAGAAAGAGAATCCTTACGCGCTCTTCTCGAGACGAAACGATCGGTAAATAAATTGACTCGAGTCGATCGAGGGAGCCCACGGAAGCGCGACGGCGCTCAGGGTCGAATCCGAGTCGAGCTAGCGAAGGAAATTCAGCGTTTACGTGTAGCGGTCTAGTCCATTTTTCTCGCGTGGTTAACACAAACGACAGGATATATAATGTACATAAAGTAACGAGGAAAAGGAAAAGAATAAAACGAAAATGCAGATTCTAGAGAGCACGGCGATCGCGGGCGCGACTGGCGCGCGTCGCCGGACCTTTTTATAAGCTGATTTTGTATTTATTAGTTAATTGCGGGGTTTATATAGATGGTCATCACAAACACACAAACACACATACACACATACACACACGGATCATCACACATAATTCTTATCGTCTCTCGGTTCTCATATGGTTTCCAGCGATAAGTGTTAATTTATTGACTGTGAATAGAAATAAACGGATGGAAGATTCAAACGAGACGCGTCCTCGTGTCGCGTGTATTTCATTTCCCGGCGATTACGCACGCGCCCTCGGCAAACTTCCGATTCCATATAATCCGCCCGATTATCCCTCCGAGGAGGCGAACAAGCAGCTGCGCCGAACGGCAAACGGTAAGTGCTTAATTAAGGCAACGTGTACACCGTAATCTTTTCATTGAAACAACGCTTATGCACACGTATTGCATCCTGGGATTTTAATTAAAGACGAAGCGGAGTAAAAAGTATTCGTTAACGCGCGTGTAATTAACGCGCGACTGATTAACGAAATCATTGCACCGCGTTTCTGCGCACAGCCGAGATTTCCTCGCGCTGAGTGAGCGGCCCTTCTCAGTCTATCAATGGAATATAAAATAACAGGATGTCTCCCAATTATTTTTCGCGTGAACAGATAATTAAAAATTTACAAATTTTTACGAGTAAAATTCGAGATTTTCAACGAGAGATTCACAGATAAATTTACATGAAAAGATTCAAGCAAATAATCAAGAAATATTCTGTATTCTCTAAATTTCTTGAGATGAAATTGAGAAATAGACTGATCATTGAGTCACTCGAATTCGAGTGATTTTTCACTTACATAAAATGCATATTTTCACTCGATATTGAACCTGATATGGTTCACATACAGCCACACATACAAGAACGTATTGACTCTTATCAACCGAAACGTTCACTCATATGTAGTCAGAATCCGCTTCAAGCTTGAGCGATACGTTCACTCTTGCGATTTCAAGTGGCAATATTTTCACTGTCGCTTTGAATGAGATTTCAAGAAATTTAAAGAATATTTTCATCGCGCGGCGCGCGCTGATATCTCTTTGTGTGACGTCCTTAAGATTCCTGTGTCTTCGCCGCGGCCATTTTGATTAATGACGTCAGAAGTGAAAGTAAATTTTCTAATTCGTTACATTAATCTGCACTGGTTGATTATTCATCGAAATATAGAATTAAGTTTGTTATCTGCTTGTTATCTCATTGCATATCAAATATAATGAAGTAGATGACATTATCCTAAAATACATAATTTAACTACTATATCACTATTACTAGTATTTATTAGTATACTTGTATTTTAAAAGATTAAGTCAAACATCAAAATTGAGATTACGTTAATTTCATAAACATCTGAAAATGAGAATTGAGCGTTACATTATTGGCGAGCAGCTACTTATAATTTCTCATCTTATAATTGTAATTTTGTTTGTTTGATCGTCAACTAATTTATTCCTCTAATTGTTAAGAGAAGTGAACGTTACATCACTGACTAGATGATGTTGAACACAAATTTACTATCTCGTGGCTGGACACCAACGAGGTTCAATTTCTACGAGAACAGGTACTTCAAAATTCTATCTTCAAGAGAAGAGGTTTGATTCCGGGCTATTCACATTGGTGCATCAGATATTTCAGTCTATCGACTTGCAGACGAGCGTTCGAATTTTCCGTCACGTTGCAACAATACGGTGTGTGTGTTTAAGAGGTCCCACGACTACGTGTCTCGCGCGACACGACCGTCCCGCACGCGCGTCACACATACTGAATTAATTAGAAAGGCAAATCGCGCGTCAGTCGGGGCTTCAAACAATGCAAAACGAATCGCGTAAGACGACGACGACGCGTTCCGTCGTTCTTGCGGCCGCTCTTCCGCGGAATACTCGCGCAAATGGAATAATTAGACGCTTCTTGCTCGATTAACGAGCTCCTCTCGACATTAAGCGTTACCATGTCATTTCATAAGTACGCGACACCAACCCCTCGTCCCCTCCCCACTCCACGCCATCCCTGCGCTTCTCCTCGCCGGTTTTAACGCTGCCACACGGGGCCATTAGCGGGAAGAAGTTCCGAATGACGGACGACTTCGCGTCCGCTGCTAGTAACTCCGCGAGGCTCGCAAACTTTGCGCTTTGGTTATCTGCCGTTACTTGGGAAGATCCTCTTATTTAACTATCTTCCTACTCGCCCGTTGCTCGTAATTGTGGAAAGTCCGGGAAACGCGCGGCCATCTCTCTCGCGGGGAAAACAGCACCGACGCAGCGTGACGATCGTTAATCCCACAACGCTTCCTAAACGCGTCCAGCGTCGTCGGACGCATCGAATCGTGTATTACACACCCTCGCCGATCGATCCACGCAGACTCGCGATAACTGCATTAGCGAGAAATCGGCTGCCGAATACGCCAATGGAATTGTGCGTTACGCAAAAAGAGGTAATCTCCGAAAGAGAGAAACGACGCGACGACGAAGGGAAAATAATTAAAGTCGGATGGCGACCGACTGTGTAAAACACCAACAGTAACCGGGCATCAGTCGACAAAAATTTCCTTCGACTAAAACAGTCAACAAATCAACAATGGAAATTAACCAATCGCCATAAAATCAAAAATAATTTCATCGATTAACGGAATTGACTGTAAATCAGTGTACAATCAATCGCACTAAGGTTTAATTAATAATTAGTTTCATCAATCGATAAAATTATAATTTTGTATACATAACGATTGATTGACTTTGACTGCTGATTTATTGATTATTTTAGTCTAAGAAAATTTTCGTCGATTGTGATGACAGTAACATTACATCAATATTATAATTTATAATTTCCTACTCACACACAACAATGTAACTGTGTTACACACAACACGTGATATATTCCGCTTATATCACCGACTGAGAAATTGTTTCGATTTTAATTTACTGGTGTACAATGTGTAATCATAATGTTGCCGTAATGTTCACTATTGGTTCACTGGAGGCTCCATCGATCGCGTCTCCGCCGTGGAAAAATCAATCTCTAATCGAAATAATCCGCGCGATTAGCATGTGTACGCGACGCGGACGATTCCCCGTGACACCTTAATAAACAGCCACACACACATTATACGACGTGTTAAATTAAACTAAATTGCAAACGTACATTTGACGTGTCGGTCGATCGGCCGAGCGAAGAATGTGCTCATTGTCTCTCTGTGTAATTAACGGCGTAGCCCCCGCTGGCCGTTAATTGAAGATAATGAAAGGTCTCGCGATTTTATTATCCACCGCGTTAATTAACTGGCGGATCGTTGCCGTTCGTTCCGTTCCATCGGCCACTTCTTTAACGGCGTCGTAGCCGCGGAAAACGCATTCGTCCCGATATGTACTTGGGCCTCGCTTTGGCCAAAAGCGCGTGTAGTAAAGAACGAATCGCGGAACGAGCGGACACGTCGGACGAGCGATCTCCCGAAGAAAAGTGCGATAAAAAGCATTTAGTAATGTATGTAAATGCACCCTCCGAGAATCGTCCCGAACGTTACGGCATGTACGTGTCCATTCGTAAGCTTTATTTCGCACCTCGAGGGACAGCGGGAACTTTTAGTACGTTAGATTATGGCGGTAATAACTCGACGAGTTTCTTTGCCCGCCGCTCGTCGTCCACGTGAACAAATTCTTCATCCCCCGAGGGTGAGATCTAATTTAACTTTTAGGGTCGCGTCTCGCGCAATCACGCCGGGTTTCTGGCAATCCAGCCTGGTCGCGCGCGCACGAACGCGAATTCAGTTACATCTGTATCATTCGCTTCGTTACATCTCGTTTGCTATGAAAAGCGCCATTCATCGGTTAAGAATGAGCCGAATTTTCGAGAGTTATCGCTTTATTAGCGAATTGTCGTTCTTTTTCGCGAAAGCAACGTGCATTAAGTAAACTTTGGGTATTATTTGAATATCTCGTTTCTTTTACAATTACGAACGCCATAACAAACGTTTGCCGCTCAAGAAATTGTCATCCTTGACCTCTGGACAATGGAACGTTTTTTCTCACGCCATTTTTATTAACGGACACACTACGGTGCCGCTTGATTGTAAATTAAAAATACCAACGCCTGAACACTAATAACACTGGTACATTCTTATTGTTTTGCTCTGTGTTAACACGAATATTTAAACTTTTAAAATAGAATATATATAAAAGAAAAAGAATATGGGCTCTCTTTTTTTCTTTATATCTTGAAATGTTTGGACTTATTGTGAACGAATATATGTGCTATCAAGCAAGTGGATATCTACTTCAATAGCTGTACAGGGATATTTTTAAAATTATAAAATTTTTTTAGTTATTCGTACTTTTCTGTAAAGAGAAAAATTTACACTTTTCAAGAAAAAGTCCAAATATGGACTACTTTTGTAATTCCAACGTTACATAGAATTTAAAGTAAAAAAACATGTTCAACGCAGAACATAGGTATGTTCTGCGTTGAAAATTAAGATATTCGTAATTAAAAACTAAAACAAAAAGAACGTTAGACACCAGTGTCCAAATATTGATATTTTATTTTATACGACCGTGATATTACTTAGTTCACACGCACGAATAGCCACGAGTCACGAGGTGCTACGAATTCCGGATCGATAAAGTCGTCAAGGTGAGGTACGCTTATCTCGCGTACCGTTACTCTTTATCACGATCATACGCGCGCGATTCATCGTCGTAATTTTAATAATGTAATCGAGTCGTATTTTCACTGTATTTCTCAAGTGAGATTTATTGCGGAGAAGGATACGCGCGGCTGTGCCGCTATAAATTGCAATCGACATCGCTGTCTACCTCCCGGTAACCGGTCTCGGTGTTATCGAGCGCGATCGGGCAAACCGATTGCTTATACTTCGCGCGGAGACTTTCGTGCCTTTCGCACGCCCATAACAACCTTAATTACTGTCCACGCTAATGAATCAACGGAGAGATCGCTATTGGCACTGCGCATAGCTGAGCTCCATTCAAAGCTGCGTCGTGAGATTATTGCTTCGCACCCAAGGCGAGATCAAACCGTCTCTTTCTTCTCCCTTACTTCTTCCCCTTAGCGCGAGGCGTTACACCGGGATAGCCGCAATCGACTCATCTATTTCTATATTAGAGTCCGCTGGCAGAGACGGCTCGTAAATCACGAGTCCGAGTAAGCTCGCCGTACGTGCCACCCTAAATAACTACAGTCTCGGTTACGGCT